ACCTGGCAAAGTCGGCTTTCTTCCCTTACCAGTTCTTCAGCAATTCTTTCTAGCGTAAAATCTTCGTCCTTCCACCTATAGATCAACTGTACAATGCCGGAGTATTCCTGGGGTAATCTGCTTATTGCCTGAAATCCTTTGAAAAGGTCTGAACCTTCAGGTAGTAATGACATCTTCAATTAAGTGTGAGCACAACAACTTGAACAAACTTCTAAGACAGGTTAACTTCTTTTCGTGGATAAGGGCCCTCTTCACCTACATTCCTTCAATGCTGACTTGAACTGGATGACAGATTAGCTGTTGGTGCTGGGCTCATAACCCTATTGACAGTGGCGATAAAGGCAAAGCATATTTTGCTTCCCTTAAATAAAGGTAAGACTAATCTAAATAAAATTCATGCTTTATTCCTTAAATTAAAATAAAATAAGCTAGCACTGTAGCCTTTACATTTAAAATCATTGAGTGAAAGAAAACTAGCATTATGCTAACTCATAATAAAACATTTGCTAATACCGGCATACGTATAAATAATACTCGGCCAACCCACCGATCTTGACGTCATCAGCCAATCAGCGGCAACCACGTTAGCTTACCTCCAACCAAAATTTGCATAAAGAAAACTAAAGCCAACAAAAAGCCCATTGTGTCTGGTTATAAATGTGTGTATCAAAAATTCTGAAATAGGTTCTTTGTCTGTGTATTAACTCATAGCTGCCATTAATACCTAAAATAGAAATTTTGTCCAATAATTCAGAGATGTTAAAGGATTTGGCAGAAAAAGATATGATTTGTTCTGAGACATGCATAATTTGGAATTTGTTGCAGTAACACGATACTGTTTCCATCAGCAACTGTTAATGCAGATTTCATAAATGTGTATTTAAAATTTTGTAAGAGATATCCATAACAAAAGTATTTTTTTTCTCCATTTTAGTTAAACATTAATTTGTGTTGTCACATTCATCTCTCATTTTTTCTCCTTTAATTATTCTAGCTCATATAGCATTCGTTGGTGGCTGTGGTTGAGTTTTAGTAGCATATCCTTGACTTGTGCTATATGGTATGTATGTTTGCATTATGAGTGAGGTTTTTGCTTTTGAAATTATGCCATATAATTTTATTGTATTTTCTCCCTTTTTTTTAGTGTCAAATATTCAGGGATTTTCTCTGCACTTTTAGTGATCTCATTACTAATTTTTGATTATTGGGAAATGATATCAGATATTAGTCTTAGTGCGGTAAGTAATAAAACAAATTATATTGAAAATGTAAAAATAGATATGTATATTTAATAAAAAGAAGTGCGAGTGCTAAAGAAAGAAATTGGCAAGTTTTATAAGATTGCTGCTAAATGTATGTAATAATAAATAATTTGTCCGTAACAATATGTGTAATGCTAAAGATATCACAATAGCATGTGATGATTTGCTGTTGTATCAGAATAAATAAGTATCAATAACAACTGTAGTATTGTAGGTTTTTATAGTCAGAATTGCAATTTGAACTAAGTTTTTTGGGAGTTAGTCTACTGTAGTCTATTTAATAAATTTTTCTGATTATATGTATCAGAACATAGAACTCCTCATAGATCTGTAGTTTATTATAAAGTGTAGAGTTTGATTTTATTTTTTTTTGTTCTTATACAGGTAAAGGACATTCATATTTTTCCAGTTTAACATAATAGTAAAAAAAGTTTGCATCTGAAATAATATTGTATATTTTTCATTCAAAGTATAATTAATACTGAAATTTCAAGGATATTTATATACAGTCAAAAGTCTTTAATCCGGACTCAAGACTTCGGCGATTCCGGATTATCGGTTTTTCTGGATTATAGATCATCAATTTAAATCTGGTAAGATGGCATGCAGATATTATAAAATTAAAAATATGAAACCGTTATTTATGAAATAAAGAGCAATTATGATCTAAAGGGTATCAAAATTTACAAAAAAAAAAGCTTAATATTTATTTGTTTACTTTATTAAACATTTCTTTCAATGCGCGCATGCGTAAAGCATACATTACGCATAGTCGAAATTAGAAAATTGCAACCAGAAAACTATTTGATGTGTATTCGTGATATTTATAATGACGAGGAATTTGATTTAAATCATATCAAAGACGGGGTACATCGAGATGAAATACTACATTTAGTAAGGAATTATAAGCCGAATAAAATAAAAACATCTGCCCTGAAGATAAGTATAGTGCTGACAGATCAACTTCCAGTTCATTGCACGCCGCGACATTGAAATTGATAAACAGATTTTGGAATGGGGTACTATTCGGTTTCGAGGGCCGTAAAAAATCGGCAAACTATTGTTGATGCCAATGCTGCCAAAAAATTGCGGCAAGAAAGAAGTATAATAGTAAATACTATATAAGATTGATGTTTTTAATTTAGATGAAGGTTAATTTCATATAATACTTTTTTATTATTATAATTTATATGAAAAAGGCTAAACATGACTGAATGGAAGCATAAGAATAAGTAACTATTTCAGATCATTATTATAATTTATATGAAAAAGGCTAAAAATGACTGAAAGGAAGCATAAGAGTAAATAACTATTTCAGATCATTATTATAATTTATATCAAAATTGCTAAACATAACTGATTGGATGCCTTCATCGCTATTTCGCTACCGAGTTATCGCTTAAGCATAATTTTATCTCGTTGGTTGTTCAAACAAAAGTTTCTATAATGAATGATGCCTTTTCTTTGAAAATATTCTCGGTATAGTGCAGAATCGCTTTTTTATTTGTTTGCCGCTGTTTATAAGGGTAAAAACAATTGGATTTTTGTCAATTTTCTTTTACTTTTTAAGTGAAAATAGGTCAATTTGTACATAGATAAAGTCAAGGGTGTGCACAGTGCCATTTTTGTGCAATTTCTAGGATTTTCTTTTAAGTGAAAATAGGTCAATGTGCACATGGATACCGAGTATGTGCAATTCTTAAAAACACGTCAAGCAGTGGATTATTCTGCACTTTATCCAAAATTCTATTGCCGACGTTTCGTTATGGGCAATTCCCAAATTGTTAAATCCATAGGATATCAAAAAAAAAAAAAAAAAAAAAGGATTTAAAAATTAAACTAGTATTTCAATGGCGTCTTAAAAAATATAGAACTATATAAACTTATACATTCTGAAATCAGCGCATTTGCTAGATTTGGCGCTTTTGAGCATACATTTTTGCTGCAATCTTTTTACAGCCTTCGAAACCGAATAGTACCCGGAATGGTTAGAGAAACAAAGGATACGCCTTTATCCATTTTTTGCAGCAGTTCCACTTTTTGTTTGATGGACATCGAAGCATGCTTTTGCTTTGTAGATACTTTGGCAGCTCCAGAATCGGAAATTCTTTTTGACATAATCGAAAGTTCAAGCTTACTTTTATAAAATTGCTCTAACAGTCTGCAAAAAATAATAAGCCAGATCCTATTCGAAGATTAAAAAACAATGCAATCTGCAACATTAACTGAATTAGATAATTTTAGCTTTGCTTATACTGTCCGTTATACATTAAACGTGCATGCATAAAAAGGTATTATGCGTTTACGCATGTGCAGAAAGTTTGTAGATTTGAGGTCCGGATTATAGATCATTCTGGATTATGAACGTTCGGATTAAAGACTTTTGACTGTATTTACTACTATTTTGTATAATTTTGTACAAAAGCTTATTTCAATAAATGTAATTTAATTATCGAAGTCGAAAACATTTATTACAGGTTTGACTTCTGAGTCTAAAATAGTTGCATATATCACTTGTGTCTTCTCAGGTTGTCTTTTGTAATTTTTGCCTATTTTATATGAACTGACCAAATTTCCCATGAATGATGTATGTACTGTAATTTACATTGTATCATTTTGGCCACCATGTTTTGTTGAAGAATATAAAAGTAATACAGAGCAGATTTTTTTAAAAGTTTTTAACTTGCAACTTCTTTTGTTTTTGTTTGTCTGTAAGTGATTTTTTTTTTTTGGGGGGGGGCTATACTCATTTGAGTAAAGCCTGTTTTCCAAAATTTAAAGATATAATAACATTTTCAGATTTATTAAAATCTAAAGAAATACAAATAATAATAAATATAAATTACATATACATAACCAAATATAATTTAAACAGTGATAACAAAAAAGTGGTACATTTTGCAGTAGAAAAGTTCCATATACTATATCATTTTCAGTAGATGGAAACTTTGGCTTAATATCAATAATAGTAAAAAAAATTGTAATGCTTCTTCTGCCCTCAATAATTTTTCTTTGATCTCTTCTTTTAAAAGCTTGATATGTAGGTGGATTGTATTTGTTGATCTCCTTTTGAAACTTTAATAATATTTTAGCCATTTTGTTTGTTGCGTTGTAGACATCATTAAAGATATCTTTATTTTATTAAATTTTTTTGTAGAATTCATGTGTAAAATATTGCCATTTAGCATTAACATCAGGGTTGGATAATTATTTTTAAATAAATTTATAGGCTTCATAAATATAAAACCTGATTTATTTTCTTTATATTAAATTTCCTGATTTAACTAATTTTTGATCATTTTTATAAAATCTGTGATATTTTATCTTTCATTGCTGTATTTTCTGCAGAGATAAATGCTCATTTCTACGATGATGATTGATAAATATCTGTATCTTTTATAACTATTAAATTTAAAAAAAAATATGAGGCCTAGTAAAATGATATGGGTAAACTCAAATTTAATTATGATGCATTAATTTATTTTGATGACTAAAAATGCATTAACTTTATGTGATGGATTCTTGAGGAGGCATGTGAATGTTACTACAGTAAGCAAAAAATTAAAAATATTAATAGTGCAATAAATATCTTTTTACACATAATTTTATAAAAAAAATTTTCTTTCTGTTCCATTTCACAAATGATCAAAAATTAGGTACTTATAAATATTATCACTTTGGTGCAACTTGGTAATTTTTTACCTAGGAAAAAGAATGATGACATAAGTCATCATTCAGTTCATTTGCAAAATTTTATTTATTGCGTACATAAATATTATTTCATATATCTTTTATATTCTAATTAGATATTTATCCTGAAAATCACTAAATTAATCTACTCATAAGCTGGTTTTTATTTCTTGTGTTTTGATGGAAATGTAGTGGTGATTGCTTTAGCAACAATTCAAAGCAATTGTGCTCTATAGTGATGTTGCAAGAAAATATTGAATTCTTTCAGGAATTTTAAATGGACTGCGCTTTCTTCCATTGGTAGGAAATTTTCCAAAGCACATGTTTTAAAATCAAATTTAAGGTAAAAAATATCACGATTTGTCTTTAAAAACCATTGAACTTGGAATACAACAAAAAAGAAAGCATACATAGGTGGTGATGATTGCCTTAAGAACTGTTATGTGCATGATTGTAAGAATTTAGCTCATTCTGCAAATCTGGCAAATTCTAAGGTGGTTGTGCTAATATGTAAGTACAAAAAATTATGTATAAATTTTTAGAAACAATCTTATAATAATAACATAAATTGCAAATTTTTTGTTTTTATAATATAAAATAATTTACTGTAGGAGCATCAAAATAATGCTTTAATTTAATATTAAGTATCAAGTATTCCTTAAGGTAACATATGTTAAGATAATAAAATTTCATTGGAGCCTCAGGGGGTATGATAAGGCTGTTTTTATCTTACGTAGAGATGATCAACTTGGGGAAGATGACTGCCAACAATGTTCTCTTTTGTTTAATTATATTCTCACAAATATTGTTTACTTCATGAGAAGTTTCATGGTATGCATGCAGAATACAGTCTTTCATTTATGCATTGAGATTTTATAGATCTCTGTTAGAAATTCTCAGAGTATAGAATTGTAGATATATTTAAAAAGTGGATTAGAGATGTTGTCTCAGATAAAATTTGATTAGATTTCAGTTGTTTTGAGGCAAGTATCCATTACTTTATAAAGAAAGCATCCAGGAAGAATTTTTTTTTAAATTACACATTAATAAAGTTGTATGAATTTTAATTTAATAAATGGATACAAGTATAGCACACAAACTTGAACATTCAAATAATGTCAATAAAGTTAATGGCAGTGCGAGATTAAAGTTGATTAAAATTACTTTACTTTAATCAACTTTAATCTTGCACTGCTATTAACTTTATTGACATGCAATATGCATTTAAGATTATTTGATATCGATTTTGCTTTTCGAAGGAAAGATCCATATAAATTCTTTCATAAGCTCAAAGAGAAATTTTTCTAAAATAAACACCAATCTATATGTATCTAGATATATATATTTATCTGATCCTCTTTTATAAGCTTAAAGGAAATTTTTCTGAAATAAACACCAGTCTGAGTCTTTATTTTGCTTTTCTTTGCAACATATAACTGCTCTGATTCATTTGAGCATCGAGTCTACATGCTTCCAGAGAATACCATGCATTAGCTATGCAGCTTTTTACATCTTGTAAATTAGATGGAAGAGGAGAATATTATCAGATGCATCTTTCTACCATATCCCACACATTTTCTATGGGGTTAGGATTGGCCAGAGAAGGTGTTGTAAGTCAGACTTATGTTCAGTGAACCAGTTTTGAACACTTCTTGCACGATTTACAGTTGCATTATCATCCATTAAGTATCTGTCACCATCAGGGTAAAAATGCAACATTGCAAGGTGCATTTGATTTGCCAGTATATCTAGGTATCTCTAGGCTGTTTGTTGACCCTCAAGGAATACCAGGGCACCACTTCACGACAGCAGAACGTGTCCCATATCATGATACTCTCACCAGATCCTTGCACAGTACGAGTAAGGCAAGATTGGCCTTCATGGTCTCATGGGGTTCTCACAAAATTCGACGTCTTCCATCAGCGCATAATAAGGTTTATGATTCATCCAACCACATTACCCATTTCAATCCTCAGATGTCCAGCATCTTCTTTCCCGACACCTTTGCAAACGAATTCTTGCATCTCGAGCAGAAATAAGTTATTTTCTCACCGGCACCTGACTTTGCATTCCTATCCTCTGCAATTCTCTGTGCATGGTTTTGAGCTGAAATCTGTTGGGAAGAGCCTTGGTTGACAGTCTGTGTCAGTGACAATTGCATAGTAGAGTCCCTGTTCTGCCATACAATTCATCGGAGATGCGGCCAATCACTTTCTTGGAAAACTGTGCTCAAACCGCAGTTATGTCTTCTAGAAAAGGACTGTGGGTCTTGATTCCAACTCTTGGAAACCTTTGATATGGCTACTTTTGAGGACCCAGTGAGATTTTCTGTCTTCGAAATCAAGGTTCCTGCTAAATGAGCACTAACAATAAGCCTTTTCTCAAATGGTGAAATATCTGTCATTTTTCCCATTTTACTTCATTCATCGGGAAAAGCACTGTTACACCTTACTTATACTAGCATTCTAACCACATGTAATCCATGTCATAAAAACAATTTGCAAACTTCATCCCCAGCACACATTCAAATGAAAATCTCAAAGGTTTGGATAGGTTACAGTTAGTGCATCTTTGGCTACTTACTTTGAAAGCTGAAGTGGTTTAAGCTCCAAAATATAATTAATTCACTCTAGATTCTTAATTTTAAATGATGTGGCTGTATAAAATTTTCAACTTTTTCCCGTTTTTAATATAAGTAACAGCTAATTTTCTGAATAAGTCTTCCCCAAAAGTAAGCAAATAATCCTACTGTATTTTGTAATAAGAAAAAAGTCCAATGTTTGTTATAAAATAAATGCATGTGAAAACTATGATTCATTTTTAGAATTGAAAATGGGATACAATTGTCTTTTTGGCATATTCAGAAAGTTAAAAGCAATGGAATTTTTTAGCATGAAGTGTCATATGAAACTGACTAAAATTTTTTTATTAATGATTATTGTGGCTTTTAATAATTTCTTTGTGTGATAAAACTGATTTTTTTTCTTGTAATATATACATGTTGTAAATGTCTTGTTATAGTCTGCTGTTTCTTTTGAATGAAAAATTGTTATATTCTTTTTTCAGGTGCAACTCATGACTCACCTATTTGTTAGATTTTTAGCTGTGATTGTTCTTCCATTGTGTGTTTATCTGTTAATTTTTTATATTCATTTGAGTATTCTGACGAAGGCTGGACCTCATGATAATATAATGACTAGTGGGTTTCAAGCAAGTCTTGAAGTAAGACTTTTATATCTGCTTATTGAATTTATGTGATTTATTTATACATAATGATTATAATGAAAATATAAATGTAATTAGTGGTGGTGGAATGAACCTTTTGATGAAGAGAGATTTCTGGCAGTCGTAGTAGTAGACTGATTACCGTATGGTGACGGCATAACTGCATAGTAGAAGGATGAATGATTTGCAGAATTTATTTTTTAACATTCTTGAAAGATATTTTTTCCATCACTAAATTATGGCAAGGAATAAACACCCTTTGAGTTATTTATGATGCATTAAGATTTTTGAAACAATAGAGGAATTTGAGCAGCACCTAGACAATATTAGTTTTGCAAACCAGAACAGAGGTAGAAGCGAAAATGGGCAGGTATTCAATACGGAAGCTCACTCAGAGGAAGTTTCAATTTAAGTTCTGAATTAGTTATGCCATTATCATTATAAAGTCCCTGATTTAGAAATGACACATTTGAGATAAATTTTGAAACATTGCAGATGCTATGAAGGGGACATATAAAAATCTAAAGAAGAAATTTGTAGAACTATTGCTTAAAGAAATTGTGAACTAATTGCTAATTAAGTTAGTAATTTATTGAGTTTTCTTTTCTTAATTTATATTCTACATATACCCCCTTCAAGAAGAAAAAGGCTTGGAGAGAGAAAAGCTTTTCTAAGACCGCCCCCCCTTTTCTATAACTTTGCATTAGCAAATTAAAAGGAAAAAATTAAGAAATAATATGCAAGACATAAAATATCTACCTTTCTAATAATAAATTAACAATAGCCCTTTAACTCTGCTCCCCTCCTCATTCTAAAAATAACTTTTCTAATATAATCTTTACTTCTGGCTTTGTCCTATAAATCACTTTATTATAATAAATGAAATTTTAACTCAGCATCCCAGTATTAATCTCTTATGTATCTGAAATTTAATTCACTTCATATAAACATTGTTATAATGTAATTCAAAAGGTAATCATGCTTTGGTATAAAATGTCTTTCCTGGGCCTTCACACTTTTCCACTAGCTACAGCAATATATTACTGCCTTCAAAATGTGTATTTTATTGGATGTAAAACGTTCTTTAAGAACAAGCCACTATTGCATTCTTTAAGAACAAGGCACTATAGCGCCTCTTTGATTTATGTTGGATTAAATAAAACTTTATGCCAATAAAAAGGAAACAGTGTAATTCAGCCATGTCTGCAAGTTTCTGGTTTATGCATCCATATACCATGTCAAGTTATTATAACTAGCTTCTTTAAATTCTATTATAATTTAGTCTTCTTTCAATTTTATTACAATCAGGGCAAAACAGACAGGATATCGTTAAGTGTTGAGTACACCAATGAAAAATTCATTTGTCTCAACAAAAAATTTTGGTGTATCAAGCTGAAAATAATGCTCGTGGTAAGTTAAGTGTGTGTACATCAATGGAAAAATTGTCTCAGCAAAAAGTTTCTGTTTATCAAGATGAAATTAATGTTCCACTCTTCAACATAAAGTGCATGTACAAAATAGATATGTGGATCTTCAAAGTAATGCAATTAGCCCATAACTTCTACTCTCAAAACATTTTGTTTAGTTTTTTGCTGTACTAAATATTTATTTTGTACCTGCATAATATTTTGACAGTCTATTCAAATCCTCGAGTACACAAGATGCTCAGTGACAATATTTAGAAATTAGGGGGGTATCCTGTCATGGTTTTACTGCGATATACGAGTGCTTAAAAATTCGATCTGAATGTTTATAATAGAGTGATTTCAAGGACAAAGCCAGATGTTTTTCATCTGCTTCAGCTGTACATGTAAACTAATAGAGATGTCATCAATAGAATAAACCATGCTTCTTTTGAATAATATGAAACTGATGAAAGTGCTATAAGTTTTCAACTTAGCATGATGCCTTTGATTTAAAGTTATATAGCTTTGATTTATGAATTTCGAAAAAGTATATTAATTGTTGTTTAAAAATAAGTAAAATGTAACAAGATTTTCTTTACTTTAAATGACTTTGCAGTTATAAAATGTGTGAGTAATTTAATGTTGTTATCTTGGTAGTAGTATATGCTAAATGTGTTCATAGCTTTGAAGTAATTTCTGTATCTAGTAGAGCAGTTAAGATGTTGAATGCCGTGCGCATTTTACATGGTTTGCCAATGGCACCAACATGTTTTTTTATTATTCGATGCATACTATGTTGAAATATTACCTACAGAAGATAAAGTGAGTTATGTAATCGTGTTTAATGCATTTTTCCTGGTGGGGGTCACTGCTCAGCCCCGAGGCGCTACAGACCATTTTTGCGATTTATTATTTAAATTTTTGCAATCTATTACTCTTCTCAAAACATTATAATAATAATTTATTATAATGTTTTGAATTATTATTATATTGCTGTAGCTAGTGATTATTATTTAAAAATTTATCTGTATCGATATTTACTCTAATTATATATTTTTACTGTTGATCGCGTCGGCGGTCACCGATGGCCCCCATGGCACTGTAGCCAAGTTGAGTGCCGTCCACCGGTGACCCCCACGGCAGTCAATGTGTTAGGAATATTTTGTATTGTAATTGAATTACAAATTAATAACTTTTTATCATACTGAATTTAAAATATACGCTTTTTTATGAAAATGAAAATGAAAAATTTATAGTATTAGAAATGTAAATTTAAATAACTATTTTTGAATTAAATAAGTAAAGAATTTTAATATATTTTTCAGAGAATATTATTTGTAATAAATTATTATATTTTTGAATTATTGTAAAAATGTATGTTAAGAATTTTATACTTATTATGAGAATGAAGTAAATATAGAATGCAAATTAAATAATTTTGAATATTAGCATACAAAATTATAAAGAAATGTGTATTGAGTAATCATATAGAAACTATAACAAGTATAATTTTGAGCATTATCGTAATGAATATTAAAAATTTTAGTAGTAACTTCAGTTGAATAATTGTAATGTAATTGAATATGTGTAATGTAATTAAAATATGAAATGGGTAAGAAGAAAAATAGTTTTAAGTTTTGGTAGATGTAGAGTATGTTGAGGGAGTACTGGTTCAGAAACAGAGGCCTGTTTCCTCTGTAATTTTTTTTTTTTTTTAAAAATTCTCCATGTACAGTATAAACTGAAGGCTCCCACCTTATAATTTTTTCATAATGTTGCGTGTGTACGGGTTCGTTAGGAAATGTACAAGTCCGATGAAAAATTAACAAAATTTATTATTATCACAACAAAAATGCTTAAATTTCCTCATATTTGTGCAGTATTACAATATCTCACAGTAGTTATCTTTTAAGTACTTAAACGTTCAAAAGAACTTAATTCAAAACAGCTAGAGAAAGCTAATCCATGAATTCACTACAGTCAACAAGAGCAGTTTTCTAAACAAACTCTTAAAACCACAACAAACTAACTACAACTGAATTGAGAGGTTTTCCTCTTTTTTATAAGATTTTAAATCGCGCACGAGAATTTTCTCGAAATCAAAGAGAGATATTTTTTTTATTAAATATTAAATGCACATGCTCTTGTATTTTTAGTTTCCAGCTTAGCTTTCTTTTAATAGTCGTCATGCGCTGCACTGCACGGGAAATAAATCAATTTAATTTATAATTGTACCAACATTAGCTATTTAAATACCAAATCTGTAACACTGTCCCATTCCGAAGGACTGCATGTCCCGGGCAGTACAATCACTGCACAGGAAGCCAAACTTACAACTAAGGCATAAATGCAGTGATAAAACATTACAATAACAAACAACATGAACAATAAATGCAATCAAATACTAAATACAAATAAAATACTAAATGCAAGTCAAATCAAATACACATTTAGAAACAAAAGGACCATGGTCTTACACTATTTACAATTATTTACACTATGTACTTTGGCCATAGTAAGGAGTTAACCTGTCGTAATGAACGACTTTAGGTTTAGAGTTCAAAGACTTACAGATCCAAACCACAACATCATTCAGCCTGTTTAGGACTGTGTACAGACCATCCCAAGATGATTGTAATTTTGGACAGAGTCCTTTCCGTCGAGTCGGATTCCACAACCAAGCCTTGCCTTCTTCATGGAATTGTTGTTCAGTAGCGCTTATGTTGTATCTGGTCTTCACTTTCTCCATCGCCAAGTTGACTCGCTTTCATGCAGAATGATGCATCTTCAAACTGGGGATGGGCATCTTGGGTGTATTCCTCAGGCGATGAAGGCGCATCCGTAGAGCGACCAAACAGGCGGTCACAAGGCAGATGATGGTCTTGACCGAAGAGCATCTGAGACGGAGAATAGCTGGTAGTCTGGCATTTCTTTTCGACTCTAGTATGATTTCAGCAGCTTTCTGAATAGGGTCTTTCACATGAGATGTCGGCGTTTCTAGGCAAGGATCCCTTTTGAGGATGGATAGTCATGTCGTCAGATGCGGAGAACAGCATGTTGTTTTTTAAGTCTAAGGAAAAATTGCATTTCCTTAAAAAGTCCAATCCGAGTATGCATAGATCTGTAATATCCGCCACATATGCTGTGGGACGGTAGGCGGCACTTCCGATCATGATAGTCACGTTTAACTTCCCAGCTATGTCGATCTTATCAACAGATGTACTCTGAAGGGTAACACAGGATGGCATCCAAATAAGTTTATCTTTAAACTGTTGAGCTAAATTCCTCAAAATGATAGTAACATTAGCTCCTGTGTCAATGATCATATTGCAATTAACTCCAACGATATGCCCCTTGATGGACAGTTTGTTACTGTTGCCATTCACTGTAGAAATCTTGAGCACTTTAAGACAAGGTTTTTCATTATCTGCAACCTCCGTTCCTTGATATGGTCATTAATTTGTTTCCTGCGTCGTTGCTGAAATATGGTCTCAAGTTTCATACCCTGGGGTGTTCTGTAATTCTTTCGTATGTGTCCTTCAGATCCACAGTTCCAAGATTTTAAGGTCGATTTCTTGTCACTGATATTTC